GGGATGGGGAATTTTTGGGGTTAGGTGATAGTGAGAGTGACAGGCGCGGGAGAAGTAGGTATAGTAGGGAAAGGATTAAGGTAAGGTAGGAAAAGGCCGGTAAGGTAGGGAGGGTCATAACGGCGAAAGGTAAGGCCGGTGGAGGACGGTAGGGTATTAAGTGGAAATGGCGGATGAGAATGGTGGGAAAGAGGTGTACGAGGAAAAAAGAAGAGGAAGACCGACAAATGTGGCGGGGCTGATGATGGGCGAGCAGGGAGTGAATATTGAGGAGTTGCTGATGGGAAAGAGGAAAGCCTTAGAGTTTTAAAGAGACGGAAGAAAGGGGGGAGGTAGAGCAGGAGAAGGATGCGTTTAAGAGGAATAAGTTGGTGGGAAGATCGCCGGAGAAGGGGGGGGGGGACAGGGGGACAGAAGAATTGTTGAGGTTGCTGACGAAGAAATTAGAGGGGGTGGTGACGAGAGAAGTGGGGAAAGTGGAGAAAAGGATAGAGGAAATGGCGAGGGAAGTGAGGAGGGAAAGGGAAGAGATGGTACAGAGGTGGGAGGAGGAAAGGGAGGCGATGATTGATAGGATAGTAGAGTTGGAAAAGAGGGTGGAGAAAATGAAAGGGGGGAATAAGGAAAATAGGGGTGACGGGGGAGGACAGAGCAAACGGGAGGGAGAAGAAAAGATAGAGTAGGTAGAAAGGAGGTTAAGAGGAATGGAACTAAGGATGGAGAGAGATGAGAGAGAGAAGAGAAAGAAGAACGTGGTAGTGAAGGAAGTGAAAAGGGGGAAGGGGCGAACTGGGAAAGGGAAATAGACAGGATTTGGAAGAAGATGGGCGTAGTTGGAGGAATAAAAGGGATGAAGGAAATTGGTGGAGTGAACAGAGAAGGGAGAGGGATGGTGTTAGTGGAGCTGGAAGGAAGAGACAGAAAAATGGAGGTGATGAAGGCAAATGTGAAGCTGAGAGGGGAAAAGGAGAGGGTGGAGGACGACTGGGTGGTGGAGACAAAGGGAGAGAAGGGTAAAATGGTTGATATAAAGAGAAGCGGTGGCGGAGAGAAGAAAAGGAAAGAGGGTGAGGGTGGGGTATATGAAGATATGGGTGGATAGTGAGATGAAAGTGTGGGACGAGGTGGAGGATAGATGGAGAAGGACGACGGGAAGCGAATAGGAAAAAAGGCAGAAGGAGATAGGCGGGTGGAGGCCGGGGAGGGTACTGGACAAGGAGAGAGGGAGTGGGGAGTAGAAGGAAAAGGAAAGAGTACACGCTAAAGGTGGGTTTTTGGAATGTGGCGGAGGTAAAAAATAAGGATAAAGAGTTTCGGGAGGGATTGAGAAGTTGGGAAGTGGTGGTATTAATGGAGACGTGGGTGGACAGGAAAGGGTGGGAAGGGATTAAAGAGCACTGGAAAAGAGGCTTTGAGTGGAAGGTACAGGATGCGAAAAGAAGTAGAGGAAGGGGTAGAGCGAAAGGGGGATGGTAATGGGGGTTAAGGAGGGATTAGAGGTAGGCAAGGTTGAAAAAGGTGAGGAAGGATGGATGGAATGGAAAGTAAAGTTGGGAGTTACTGGTGGTGGGTGGTGGGGGTGTATGTGAATGGGGATATGGAGAGGAAAAGGGATATGATGGTTAAGTGGATGGAGGAGGAGGATAGGGAAGAGAAGGTGATAATTGGGGGGGACTTCAATGTAAGAACGGGGTCGGAAGGAGGGGTGTGGATGTTGGTGGAAGACGGGAGGGAGGAGAACAGGAGGAAGTCGAAGGATGGAGTAGTGACGAAGGAAGGGGTAAGATGGTGTCAGTTCTTGAAGGAAAGAGGTTGGGGGATCTTAAACGGGGGAGTAAAAGGGGATGAGGAAGGAGAATTGACGTACGTGGGGGGAAGGGGCAGATCAGTGATTTACTACGTGGTGCTCGGGGAGAAGGTGTTGGATAAAATAGAGATGATGGAAGTAGAATGTAAAGTGGACTCGGATCACATGCCGGTGGTGCTAGGGGTGAAGGCGGGAAGAGGAGGGGGACACAGGAAGAAGGAAGGGGAGGGGAAGGGTGAGAGGGTGCTGGAATGAAGAGGGAGTGCGGAAGTTCAAGGAGGAGTATGGGGACTGGCAGTGGGGGGAGGAAGAGATGGAGGACGGTTGGAAAGAGTTTGGTGGACGGATAAGAAAAGTAGTGAGGAAATCGGCGGAGGGGAAAAGGAGGGTGCAGAATAAGGGTTGGTGGGACGAGGAATGTAGAGAAGGAAAAGAGAGGCTCAAGAAGGAGTTACTAGAGTGGAGGAGAGATGGAAAAAATGAAAAGGGGTACAAGGAAGAAAAGAGGAGGTATAGAGGAATGTGTGAAGGAAAGAAAAAAGAAGAAGCTAGGAGGTGGGAGATGGAGATAAATGTGATACGGACCGAAAGCCAAGCGTGGGCAGTGATAAACCGGGGAGGAAAAGAAGGAAGGGGATGAACATGAATATAAAAATGGAGGTGTGGGATGAGCATTTTAAAAGGGTGCTAGGAGGTGTGGTTGAGGGGCGAGTGGGGAACACAGAGAGGCTCGCGGGGGATGATGGGGATGAGAAGCTATCAATGCAGGAGGTGTGGAAGGTGGTGAGGGAATTGAAAGATGGGAAGGCGACGGGGGAGGATGGAGTACCAAGTGAGGTGTGTTGGGAGGAGGAGATATCAATGCAGGAGGTGTGGAAGGTGGTGAGGGAATTGAAAGATGGGAAGGCGACGGGGGAGGATGGAGTACCAAGTGAGGTGTGGAGATATGGAGGAGAAAATGTAGTGGAGAGTTTATGGAAGATGTGCTGGAAGGTGTGGAAGGGGGAGGGATGGCCGGAAGGATGGAAGCAAGGGATAGTAGTGCCAGAAGTGAAGATGGGAAATGGGGAGGCGGTGGAGGAATATAGAGGTGTAACGCTCACGCAAACGGCGTA